CATAACTTCATCAATAATAGATGGAGAAGTGGCTGTAACCTCAAAGACACCAACTGCAATACTACTTAGAATCAAGAAGGCACTGACCAAGATGAGAAAATCTTGCTGAAAATCATGAACATTAAGTAGCACATGGAAAGTAGTAATTCTAGAAACTGCCATAAATGGTAAAACCTTGGAAGAAATCAATATTCAAATCTTCATACAAATATATTCAGATGGGGGCTGGAGATGGCTTGCCATACAAGAATAAGAACTTGAAATGTGGACCCCTAGTACTCATGGGAAACACTTTGCACAGCAGTAAGCGTCTGTAATCCTTGTGCTGGGGGGAGGAAGAGCAGAGACAAGGGCTTCGCTGGCCAATATAACACAACGGATGAGTTCCAGACTGAGTGAGAAACCCTGTCTCAGAACATTAGGTAGAGAAAGAAATACAACATCAACCTCTGGCTTCCACATGCATGTGCACATGTGCACATAGACAGATACACACATTGCATACACATACACACACTACACATACATACACACTATTCACTCATAGATACTACATACACATACACACTATTCACAATATACATGCGCTACACACACGAATACATACTACATATATTCATATATACCCTACCATGTGCACATAGACAGATACACACATTGCATACACATACACACACTACACACACATACACACTATTCACAATATACATGCGCTACACCCACGAATACATACTACATATATTCATATATACCCTACACACATATACACACCACTCATATTTATATACATTATATATCTATGCACAGTACACACATATATACACACTACAGGTACATATGCATACTACACACATATACACACTATACACATTCACACTGCATATACTACACAGACACATATGTACACTACACACCCATATACACACACTACTCACACTTACACAGATACACACACCATATACACACAGATATCTGGATGGAGGATACTGAGCTGCCAGCAATGATGCTGTCTTTCCCTTCTGTCCAGGTTTTATGGATGCCTCTTACACTACTTACATAATGACTTTCTAATTTAAAGAACCCTAAAGATGAAGTGTGTGCCCTGATTTAGGTAGAGGCAGAATTACCCTAAATGAGTGAACCCATTTGTGAGTTTGCTTCTGCTTTGCAGATTCTGTTTTCTTCCTAATTGTATTTCAGTTTGTGCGGTCTATTCATTTTACTGTTAAGTCTGTCTTTAGTCTTCCACTTGCCCACATACCCTTCCTTACTCCCTCGATCTGTGGGACATATTGTGATGTCTGCCCACTAATTTTGCTGTGACTAGGGCTGGTGTCTGGTTGGGTGATTCATGTTTGTTCCAGAGCTGTACATCTGTTGATTGATTGCTTTGAAATGATGCCCTGGGAATGTGAAAGGCCATCTGTGTTTCACTGAGACTGCTTCTTTGCATCAGAGAACTCTTCTTGACTTCTGAATTCCAGAAAGCTCTCTTTTGAGACAGTATGGAAGAAAGAAAACAAAACCAGAGAGGAAAGACGTGGAGAGAGTTTGTGTGGGGGAGATCAAGCCCCGGCTCATCTGTCAGGGTGCATCCAAAGTGGGACTGAACACCCTCCGACCCTCACTTTCAGGCTAAGGTTTTGTGGACTTAGCCTCTGCCCAGTAGGAATGCCTTTGGTGGAAAGGAGGACAGAGTAAGGCCATGTAGAAACCTCATGGAAAACATTCTATGAGTTGGTGGGCATACGTAGTTGGCACTGCTTCTAAGATGCTGGTACAGATACACACAGCAGGGACAGTCCTAACAGTCACTGGTACTGCGTAAGTACTGAACACAGTGCTGGAGCTAGAGACATCCTGGCATCAAAACACTAACCCTTTGGCTACTTAATCACTGTGAAGTCCGGCCCATCCTGGGGTTCCTCGGGCAGTGGCCAAATGCGCACGGGTAAAAGTATTTAGTTGTTTTAGTACCTGAAAGGCTACGCAGATATAACTGACAACAGTACAATTACTCATGAAATTTAAAAGTTCGGCCCTGGTCGGCTTTAAATGATTCCACTTCCACCTTCTAAGAACCTTTCCTCTTTGTCCTTAAGAAGGGTTTGGGTTAGCATCAGGACCTACAGGCTTTACAGGATTTGGGTGGCACAAAGGAGCCCTTCTCCATCACCTAACTCTAGTTTCCCCTTAAGGGAAGCTTGTAGTGTGCCTCATTATATTTTCCCCTTGTGCTAGGCAGACCGGCAAGAAAGTGGGTGCAGGGGATTGCCCACCTGCCTGCAGCTTTGGAAAGGTATCCACTCCAAGGGCTTCTAAGAAAGTCTGTCTACGGTGTCTTTGAGTTACCAGGACACATTAGGTTGTTGTGACTCCTCCTTGGTCTTTCATCCAGAGATCTTCACACGCTACTTCTTATCAGAGTTTGTGTGGCAAGTCTAAAGGCAGAGTGATGTCTAGGGAAGCACCACAGCCTCATTCTGTCATTCCATTTTCTGTTTCAAGGAGAGTTACAGCTTCAGGGTGATACACTGCCTCCCCTGTGTTCACTCAGGAGTGTTCCTAGACTGACTCTTTACATAGCAACTGCAACATTTGTTTGAAACTAGAGCCTGAAAAGAAATGGCATCCTATTACCCAGCATGCCATCTGGAATTCTGGGATGAGAGAAGCCTGAGACTGTGAAGAAACTGAGTTGAAAAGCTTGGGTCTGTCTGCCAGTGCCCCACCTGGCTGTACCAGTGCTCCTCCCTCATCTGTGGTCTCACTTTGTGTGATTTCAGTTGCCCGTCATCAACCATGAGTCAAAAATATAAAATGGAAAATTCTAGGAAAAGTTTAAAAGTTTCAAATAATTATTATAATTATTATGTATATGAGTGTTATGCCTGCATGTGTTTGCCTGGAACTGGAGTTTTGGATGGTTGTTAGCCACCATGTGGGTTCTGAGATTCGAACCCAGGCCGTCTGCAAAAGAATATACATAATAGTCAAAAAATGTTTTTTATTACAGTATTTTTTATTTAAATTTTTCTTTTGTGTGTGTGGTGTGCTTATGTGCACATGTATATGAACATGTGTGTGCTTATGTCTGTGGAAGACAGAGGTTGACATTGGCTGCTGTCCTTTCCACAGTAACTCTCCACCTTATTTTATGTTTTTCAAATTTTTTATCTTTTGGTTTTTTTGAAACAGGGTCTCTCAGTAAATCCTGGCTGGCCTGGAACTTGCTATGTAGAGCAGGCTCACCTCGAACTTACAGAGATCTGCTTGCCTCTGCCTCCCAAGGGCTGGGACTAAAGGTGTGTGCCACCATGACCACATCCACCTTTTTTTCTAACACAGGGGCTGTCACTAGGGATCACTGATTTGTTTTCACAGGCTAACCAGGGAGCTCTAGGGATCCACCTGACTCCATTTCCCCAGTGCTGGGATTATAGGCATGCCACTGCACCTGGCTTTTTATGTGGGCGCTAGGAATCAAAATTCAGGTCCTTGTGCTTATACAGTAAGAACTTTGCCAACAGAGCCTTCTCTTCAGTTCTACAGTCTAGTTTTATAATAGTTCTATTGCTAGGTGATGATAATGTCTTACTGTACCTGATTTATAAACTTTATCACTCACGTGTATGTATAGGAGAAAACGAAGTATATATAGAGAGTTTGCTACCATCTGCTCTTTGAGACACACACTGGGGGTCTTGGAATGTATTCTCTACATTCTGTTAAAGGAGAAAGGGCAGGGAAACCAGTAATCTAGCCTATTACATTACATAACATATTGACACTTTTCCTTTGCCTTATTTACCTCTAATATAATGGAATCAGCTTATATACTTACAGGGTTGTTAGAATTACATGAAAAATATATCAGTAAAGCATATTGCAAATTTATGAAATCTAAGCAAAATCCACACACAGAGTGGATTAGGAACAGCAAAGGAATTATTGCAGCTGGAAAACTTAAAGGAAACTGACTTTCATGACCTAACTTAGACAGAAGACCATCCCCAATCCCTTAGCTCTTTCAGTCTTTCTGCAAAGCTTCAACAAAGGAGCAGTAAGTTTGACAGAAACTAGAAATGATGGTTACTATCTATCTGAGGCTAAGGATGTGTGCAGGGAAACCATATCTGGAATGATTAAGGCAAAGGTGTGAGGGACACTATGACTAGGGTCATAGGAGAATGGGGACAGAAAACAGGGCCCCGAATCTGCAAGACTCCACCTGTGTTCGTGATGAGTGCTTTATCAAATAACCTTGGGCCCAAGGACACCTTCCCCAAGTGAGGAGCACTGATCAGAAATCTCCCTGGCTTTCCTCTCCAGGAGCCAATGAGGCCATTCTTCTCTGGAGACCCCGCTTTGCAGCCTGGGACAGTAATTTGCTGTTACCAGATTTATTTATTTCTGTGGTTAAATTTGCATATGAATATTAAATCTCAGTCTGGGCCTCGGTCTAATCAGACAGTGAATGCTTTCAGGATAACACTTTGTTCCCAAAACATTCAGAAATATGCATATTGTATCATTAATGAGGCCAATATTTATTTATGTCAGGAAGAACTCTTTCAGTCTGGAAGACTCATTCTCATGATATCTGTGCCTGATACCTAGAGCTGTGTGAGATGTCCCCTCTGCAGTTGATCATCAGTAATCTGTTTTACTCTTGCTTCCCATTCTGAATTGGTTACTGCTGTTCATGCTCTTGGGAGGGGTCACGGGCTTTGCCCTTGGGTTCAAATTCTGGGTCACTATTTATTAACAATAGACTCGGGTAATGGACTGAATTCTGTGGGACTCAGTTTCTTATGTACTAAGCAAGGAGATTGACTGCAGCAGAAAGCTGTTTTGGAGGCTAAAACTTTCTGCAAAGCATAAAGCTTTATGGAATGTACCCAGAATAAAGTCCCTGCCCACCCACATGGGTTCTCCATGTATGTAAGCTGTCCCCATGCAATTCTCAAGTGACCAGACTTTCCTGCTTTCTTTTGAAGCTTTGATGTGGAAAATGGCCCTTCCCCAGGTCGGAGCCCACTGGACCCCCAGGCCAGCTCTTCCTCTGGGCTGGTGCTTCATGCCACCTTTCCTGGGCACAGCCAACGCAGAGAGTCCTTCCTCTACAGATCCGACAGCGACTATGACTTGTCACCAAAAGCAATGTCAAGAAACTCATCACTTCCAAGTGAGCAGTAAGTAGAGCTCTTGTCTGTGGTCCAGTGCGGCGCTTATTTCATTCTTAACCCTGCTGCAGCAGCAACACCTGCTGCCCTTTAACCCAAAGGGAGAAGGAAGAAAAATGTACACAAACAGACCATCTTAAGGACTTGCGGCTTGTTGACTAGGGTCTCCAGGGTGTTAAAAACTCATGCACAGTGTTCAGTTTACATGTGTTATTGGTGCTCTTGAAATTTTTCATTGGGTTTAATTTCCTGAACTGTTGAAATATTTAATATTTATGGGATGAAAATCTTAGCTTGTTTTACAAATCATAGTTGGATTTTCAACTGAATATACAGATTGTATGAGGCCAAAGCCCAGAAAACAAAAAGATGGTTGATTTCTTCATTAGTTGGTTACCTTCATTCTCTCACTGGCCTTCACTTGGTGACACGTAACCAAGGCGTCCTCCAACCTCATTCCTGTATTCCTTCTGTAGAACTTCAGAATCATACCTCTTGGCTCTGTGGTGAGACAGCACTGCTGAAACATAGCCGATATTTTTGTTTTGCTATTAATTGTAGATTTCTGATTTTTATTTAAATGACTGCTGGTTTATATTGCCTATTTATTAAATTTCTGAACCCAAATAAAATTGGATACTGAAATCTATGCCTTAAGAGGTGATCTTCTTAAGAAGATCTAGATAAGACTTAAGACTCTAGATAAGCTGACTACACTTAGTGGACAGACTTGCACTGGGGAATGGCTGGGGACACTGACAACCCAGTGGGCTTTAACAGGGATGACAGAGTATATGGGCCCCCCTGGGGGGGGTAGCTAGACAAAGGTTCTGGTGGGGACAGGGGTATAAAGATGATTAAGATTGTTTGAAATGTTCTGTATGAAATACACAAAAATTTCAATAAAATGTTAATGATTTAAAAAAGGTTTCTGGGCACACATACAGTGATTCTTAAACATCATATATTATAATAATATCAGCAACAGCAACTCCCTAAAGTTTTCAGCCTGGAAAATTCCAGGATTCTCTTCTCAATTATAAAGGAACTCAAAAAGATTCGCCTTGTGAAAGGGGCATTTTAAAGTTAGCCACAGGAAAACAATCTGTAGGGCATCTTTGTGAGTAACTTTAAATAGAAATACTCCAGCCCTAAAATATTTCAGCCATCGTGTGATACAAAATTCATGTTGTCCACTCATTTGGAAAATATTTACTGAAATTCTCCTAGGTGCCATGCAGCATGCCAGGCTGTGAGGAGAAAAGTGGAAGAAGACAGTATAAAAATCAGAGATGAGTTAAAACTGGATCTCATTCCTCAAAAGTCTATGTGTTCCCAGGGGAACTACACCACTTATCAATGTTCAAGGAACACACGTGTGCACACAAAACTCCACAGAGAGAATGAAACTCTCACGAGTAGGCACCTGCCATGGACCAGGTTCTGTTACATGTGTGGTCAACTGTTAGTCCAACACCCAAACCTTAGAAACTGCCAGCCACGTGTGGTCTGGATTTCATCATGAGGAGCAAAGGAAATCCAGTAAGGTCAAAGTAAGTACAGCTTAGTTCCCATGGCATTTTACAGATAAAAGACTGGCTTTGGAATACAGTCATTCCCCCAATTAATTCCTATGCTAACAAATAATTTCCCAAACCCCATAGAGTCTCCAGGTCATTCAGTCTTTGCAGAAGACTTTAATTAAATTCCATATTAAATTTTAGTATTTCCTTGTTTGGAAATAAAATAAAAAGACATAGAGGTTTTTGTTTTGTTCTGTTTTAGTGTGTATTGGTGTTTGCATGCATGTGTCTGTGAACCATGTACATATGTAGTACCCCTGGAGACCTGAAGAGGGTGTCAGATCCCCTGAAACTGGAGGTACAGATGGTTGTGAGCCATTATTTAGGTGCTACAAACCAAATCTAGGTTCTCTGTCAGAGCAGAAAATGCTCTTAACCACTGAGTCATCTCTTCGCCCCAGGACATAGAGATTTTAAACTTGAAGATAATTTAATTTTTTAAAATTTTTATGTGTGTGAATGTTTTTCTCTGCATGCGTGTAAGGGCACCCATGCATGCAATGCTCGTGGAAGCCAGATAGTTGTTCATTGACACGTGGGTGCTAAGAACTAAAACAGGTTCTCAGCAAGAGCAGCCAGTGCTCTTAACCACTGTGTCATCTCTCCAGCCCCTTGCAGACAATTTAGAACTCATACCTAAACTCAGAAAATTCAGCTTACAGTTGATGGAACAGAGATATAGTTTTGAATGTTTCTGCATCCAGCATCCTCGCCATTAGTTTTACCTTTTTGTAAAATGTTCCACTAAGTTTAGTATCTATACAAACAATGTTGTTAACTTCAACTAGAGACAAGCAAGAATTACATATGAAAATTATCTAATATAATTCTTTTTAAATTTTTATTGCGATTTCTGCATGTGTGTGAGTGTGTGTGCATGCATGTGTGTTGCATGCACATGAGTGTGCAGATGGCCATGTGAAACTAAAGTAGGATGTCAAGTGTGTTCTTCTACTGCTCTCTGCCTTATTGTCCTGAGTCAATGCCTCTCATTAAATTGAAAGCTCACAGTTTTAGTTGGCCAGTGAGCTTTAGGGATCTACCTGCCTCCACCTTCCAGCGCTAGGGTTACAGACATGTTTAATCTTGCCTAGTTTTTTTATGTGGGTGCTAGAAATTTGAACTCAGGTCCTCTTGCTTTCATAACGAGCACTTACTCAATAAGCCAACACCCCAGACCCTCATTCTTTTTAAATATATATTTTTTGAAGTTGAAAGAGCGTGTTTTCATAATAAAGATGAAACCTTCCCAAGAAAATGCAGTTGGTCATATAACACTGCTTTCTTCAAAATACTGAAAATAGGATGTACTAAAATATTTGTGAACAATTGTAGAAGATATTTATTTTGAAAATATTTCAGTATACCTGTAAAAACTTTTATATTCGTCAATTAAGGAACTTACATTTCTCAACATTAAAAGCAATAGAGCTTAAATAATATCAAGTTTCAGGAGCTGGAGGGCTGGTTCAGAGGTTAAGAGCACTGGCTGCTCTTGCAATGGTCTGGATTCAGTTCCCAACATACACATGGTGGCTAACTACCTTCCATAACTCCAGTTCAAGGGGATCTGGGCTCTCTCATCTGGGCCCTGTGGGAATTGCATGCACGTGGAGCACATACACACAGGCAGGCAAAGTACACATACACATACAATAAAAATCAATCAATCAAAGAAAATTTTTTTAATACAGCCAATTTTGCGGCTGGAGAGATGGCTCAGCAGTTAAGAGCAGTGGCTGCTCTTGCAGAGAACCTGGGTTCAGTTCCCAGCACCTACATGACAGCTAACAACTGTCCTGCCCATAACTCCAGTTCCAAAGGATCCAACAACCTCTTTTGGCCTCTGCGGGCATTGCATGCAGGTGGTGCACTGACATACATGCAGGCAAAGCACTCAAACACATACATTAAAAAACAAACAAATGATATATACATATATGTGTATATACATATATATGCATATTTATATGTATATATATATATATATATAATTTCTTCAGGTGGCTTGTTTGGTCTGGACCACACTATAAAATTGAGTTTCACATAAACATCACATGAACATCTGCTTGTAAAATGATGTGACGCTCTCCAGGCTCTTTCTCCTGATTATTGCTGTGCAGGATGAACGGAAGAGCAGCTCGTCACCTTCCCACTTTCCCAGTCTTCTGCCAAGATCCTGGAAGAAGAGGGGTCGGTAATAACCCATGAGTCTTGATGCAAAGGCCCCTGGGAGGGCTGGGGGGTGTTCTCTTCAGAAAAGCTCCTCCAAGCTAGCATAGAGCAGTCATGAATTTAAATCTATACAAAGAGTGCACAGCTTTGCGGCGTTCTGCTGCATTAAATCCTATTATTGGAGGAGATGCTGGCTTTGAAATGTTTCTCTCTGAAGAATAAAAGGAAATTATGAGTGGTGACAGTGGGTAAAAGATTTTGAATAAAAATGTGCATGGAAAGTATAAAATGGCTTTAAGTTTAGTAACAAGGGAGGCATTGAAAGAAGGCTTTCTAGAAAAAAGAATGTGAAGTCCCCACTGGGTCCCAGAAGGCAGGTTCAGCTGTGCCTCTGGATGTGGCAATAATCTGTTGGTTTCTGCTCAGTTCCCGGGATGTAGTCATCTCTAACTTAATGCCTTCGCATACTGAGGCGCAGACTTCCCAATGGGAACTTAAAGTACTGGAATCTGGCAGGGGCAGTTTCAGTGCTGAGAACTGTGGCAGAAATTGCCCTTGACAAGGAGTTTTGACATCTCAACTGCGAAGCCACAGAGGGAGAGGCTCTGTATTTTCCTCATCTGGTCATCCCCTCTGCAAAGCCCTAGACAGGGAGCTTTTTAAACCTGCCATGAACAAAGCATGTGGTTTCTAGAGACAGTTTCAAGGGAAAGGAGACCTTAAAACCAGAAGGAAAAGCACAAATAATAGCCCACGTACGTTTAAGACCTGTTTATTTGAACTACCAAAAAGCACAATGTGGTATCCATGTCTCAAGTTATATTTAGAGCCATTTCACCTGCTTACCAAGACTGTTAAGACATCAAATTTCTTTTATGGCCTAAATTATCTGTAAGTAAAAACACACATGATTAAACATTTCCCTTGTGCCATATACTAACATACTTTGCATAGGTTTATTCATTTAGTCTCCCTATCTTCAAATGTGGTAAGGACTACAGTTTCCTCAGTTAAAGATGAGGACATGGGGTAAGGAAGAAGAGGCCACACTTGAACCCAAGAAATCCAGATGACAAAACTATGCAGTTATCCAGTACAAAATCTACATAAAGCCCCAGATGAAAATACTGATACTAGTTTCATGCATTGCCTGCCTTTCCAGCTATTAATATGGATCATGTTAATATGTTTATGCATTTTGCTAGCAAAAAAAGAGAAATTTTCTATGCCTTCAAAGATACAAAAAGATGGGTAAGTTGGTTGTGATTTGAATACCTTCAGGTATGGGTAATAGAAAAGTTTGCCAAGGACTTTGAGAAGCCTCAAATGGGTGAGCGGCCCATTTGAAGACATTCAGCTCAACTAGAGATGTTAAAAAGATGAAAGGGCGTGCATAGGAGAAGTCAGTGCTTGACTAGCTCTCTAGATATAGGAAGCCCTGTGGGGAGCTGAGGCTAGTCAAGAAACAAGATTCTGACTGTAAAAGGCCAAGGAGCTGTTTTTTATGCTGCATGAAAGCCACGGGGAGCTACTAAAGGCCTTCAGGGTTTGGGTTTTGAAACATCCATTCAGGTGTTTGGTTTTGAAACTCAGATGGTTTTGTAGCTCAGATGCAGGAGAAAGAATGATCTGGAGAATGAAGATAGCTAAATAATCAGTGGAGGACAACTTTGGCCACCCATGTATGTCATCTCAAGGACAGGGACCTATTCCAGAGCAGACTTTGTGAGAAACTGATAAATATTTGCTACTTGGGATCAACAGGGCTCAAGTGGATGACTGTCAGATGAGGAAGAGGGAAGTTTCATGTTTGTCTAATGTGACAGATGGTTGTATCGTTCCCTGACATTAGGGGCTTTCTTCTGTAACATGGAGTAGCAGCCATGTAAATGTGTAAATTTTACAGTTTATGATGAAAATATGCATGAGTCCTCTAGACTGCAGTAGGGGCAAGCAAGTCTTAAAGAGGATCTTGCCAGCTGGAAGACAGACACGCAGCTGTCTACCATAATAAAGACACCTTCTAGTAATAATTATGACTAAATAAATAAATGCTATTGTAACAAGAAATACAACTCATTGCTCACAGAACCCTATTTTACAGATGAAGAACTTGAGCTATGGCTTGCCTACTCTCACAGCTGACACCAAGGCATCTGAGAAGTAAACCAATGCTGCTCAGTGGCACTGTCTGTTCTCTCAGCCACTGCAGTTCAAATCTCTCTAGGGACAGACTGAGGTCAATTAGAAGACAAGCACAGGATAGTACTGTGTGTAGTGAAGAAACAGAGGAAGGGGATTAAGCTAATAAGGTTCAGATTCTAACATCTAAAAACGGAAATTTTTCTCTCTAAAAAGCTATTTCATTTTAGGATCAGACTTATACCCAATTCCAAGACCCTGAACTAAGGAACTCTGGAGTTCTCAGCCTTAGTCTATGAAATTGTAATGTTCTGTTTCTGTCACTAGAGGGGGCTTGTGTAACAGTCCTGAATATCCGGCCTTGTTCCTGGGAGGAACTACTTTCTCTACTGTTTTGGGAAATTAAGAAATGAAATATATTGTTATTTCCATTTCAGTCTATTCTTAATTTCCAAAATATCACATTATGATTTAAATATTCAGAATAGCTCTGTAACTTGGAGGGTTTTGTTTCATTTTATCTGGTTTCTTTTCTGATCATTTCTCCAGCAGCTATTATTATCTGACATACAGTATTCAGTTTTCCACTCAGACACTCTTAGGGAGCCATTGCAGGAGAGCTGACAATCCACCCCTTGTTTCTGAATATTCTGTTCAAAACTTAAACGTCCCATAATAAAGTCATAGTGACACTGCTGTTGCCTGCCTTCCATTAGTCCTTAGTTTGCATAGTTTTACTCCCTGTTCGGCTAACTCACCCTCACCTCTCTCTCAATGTGATGTGTGTATAAATCTCCTTATATGATTTTGCTTTCATCAAATATTTAGACTCCAGAAATCCAGGAGCCGAAGAAGATCTACTTGACTCCAAATCCATTACTTTGCATTCAAACTCACTTTTACGGGTTAAGAACAGTGTTAGCTTCACCTCAGAAATCTGAACAAACATCAGGATCTTTCACCTAAACATTCATCATATGAAAATATGGGGAATTGGGGATGCAATTCACACACTGCATTTAGCAATCATTTTTTGTTCTCTCTTTCCTTTGGGCCCCTTTCCCACACCCCAAAGCTTCTCCTTTGGGCTCCTTACCTACATGTAGAGGTACGGATGCCTACCACCGACGTAATTCTTCTTGCTGCTGTGGTAAACCCAACCCTGTAGTGTTAATTCCCTTGGTGAGGCCTTCCTGCTTCATGCTACCACCTGGATGTCAGTGAATGCCTTAAACTCAATATATGTCCTAAAAACTCAATGATTACCCTAAAAATCTTCAGCTCCACACTTCTCTTATTTCTACTCATGACTGATTTCTCTGATACTCATTTTTTTAAATGAAAATAATATTTCCTTATGCAAGTAAATGCCAAGTTCTGGCAAGCCTCCTGGCATCTCTTCAGCATGTCGTTCCGTTTGTTTCTTGGCACTATCCACGCCTTCTCATTGCCAGCAGCCCCCCTTATCCATTCCTTCTGGGTCTCCCCGTTGCCAGCCCCGGCATCTATACTATTTTACTTCCTAAATCATTTTTGGTTTTTTTTTTTCTTATTTTCTGTTTGCCTATCTCACGCCCAACTCACTAAAAAATCCTCCTGGCTCATGGCTTCGGCATCTATACTATTTTACTTCCTAAATCATTTTTGGTTTTTTTTTTCTTATTTTCTGTTTGCCTATCTCACGCCCAACTCACTAAAAAATCCTCCTGGCTCATGGCTTTCTATTGAGTCAATCACCCATTTTTGTCCTGGCCATAATCAGGCGCAAGGCAACTTCCAGCCTCACTACATATGTCGACAGTGACTGTGCTCTAACAGCCACCAATGAGCTTTCTCCCTGTTTCCCCATTTCAAAGCTTTTCCTCTTACCATTCTTGCCCTTGGAGTCAGCTGCCATCTGTGTCCTCACGGCCTGTCCTTAAAAGTCTATCTCAAATACCACTCCACAGTCAAGCCTTTCCTGCTTCCCTAGGCTACAGTTAAATCTCTCCTTTGAACCCCACCAAGTATTCGCTGTTTGTATTTCTCATTCTGTATTTATGTGTATTGTAGCTTTTAAAAAATATTTTTGGTCTCCCGTATTATGTTTTGATTTGGAGGATCATGGATTCTGTATAATTAGATTTGCCAGCTGTGTGGTATCATAAATTAAGTATAGTATTTAAAAGCATAGACTTCGAGAAGCAAAGGGTTCTTCCACTTACTCGCTGTGTAACGACCTGACGTCATCTGTGATGTGGGGATCTGAAGAGCGCTTGCCTCACAACCTTCTTGCCAATGTGACATGAGAGAACGCACATGAACCTCCTAACCTTCAGTATCACACAAAGAACGCTTACTGTTTATTGCGAATTTTCCCCCATGGTACAAATTGGACCCACAGGAAATTTCAGAGAACTTCTAAAGACAAAGGTGGAAACTGTCACATTAATGAGGCACCTGCTAAAATCCACACTAGAGACGAGCAGATGGATACATGTGTAGCCTGGCTTCACACGGTGCTTTGTACAGGGCAGGTGCTTAACAATTACAGGGTACCTTCACTCATGTGGCAATGAATGAGGTGCCCCATTGGTATGATGATGGAAGACCAAAGAGGTAGGCCACACAAGGAGGGAACCTCAGTGCCACAGGCTTCAGTGCTGTGGATTCACGTGGTGCTAGCCAAATTAACCTGATTTTGTGGCTCCGGCTTAGGCCAAGATGATTTCTCAAGCCCTCAGTTGGGAACTTGCTGAAGGCAGCTTTAAGTAGATTATGAAAGCAAGGGCCAGAGTGAAGAAAGTACATGTATGAAAACACATTTTTGACTGGTCTCAAGCACAGACTGACAAAACACAAGCAGAGCATAATTAGGTCTTTGGAACCAAGTGAGTGATACTGTCAAGGTTTCAGTAGGCTCAGTCTACACATTCCTATTAAAACTTTTTCCTAGGGTACTTTAAGAAAAAAAATATTTTAAAAACAAAAAGTAATGAGATTCCCAGACAGAAATCTGTGTTTAAATGGCAATAAAGCTGTGGTTCAAATCAACAAAAGCCAGGAAATCCCAAGTTAACCTTTATCCAGGCTGTCGTACCATTTTTTCCAACGCAGAATGTGCCTATGAGCAACACTCCCTTTGAGTTTCCTGGCTCTGGAAATCCAAATCCACAGGTAGCTTTGAATTACAGTACTCTGGGTCTGCGGTTTAAGGGAACTGTACCCTGAGGATACATACTTACTTGCAAAAGCTTTTACGTGGATTCACTGTAAGCCTAGGAGTCATAAGCTGGGTGCTGTAATTTCTCTTTCAAATTCTTGGGCTCCCCACTTTGTCTGCCTTCTTTCCAGGTAAAAGGCGTGGTAGAACGGTTGGGTTGCCAACACTGATAAGGTTTAACATGACTTGTGTGTCATAGTTGAAATGCAATAGCTCTGTTTCTTTTTTTTCCACCAGACATGGCGATGACTTGATCGTCACTCCTTTTGCCCAGGTGTGTATCCTCCCGCTCCCTAGCTGGCCCTCACTCTGTCACCAGCATGGTTTCTATGTGGTTCTTTGTTCCTAACCAGATCTGAAACATTTTCCTTACAGGTTCTTGCCAGCTTACGAAGTGTGAGAAACAACTTCACTCTGCTGACAAACCTTCATGGAGCACCTAACAAGTAAGATGTTTTACAGAATTACAGCCCCGTCCCATAAAACACAAACCACCGAACAGTATTTTTAAAAAGTGGATAGAAATCAGCATTTCAGGCTGAGTCATGATGCACAATGAAATCTGAAAACACAAAGGAGCAGCATAGTCGTTTAGAAGCGGTAAGACGTTGGAGAGACTATCTAAGCTTAGATTTGTTCATTTTGTACCATTAAATTACTACATAGTAGACGTTCAGCAAGTAAAGTAAGATGAAGATATTTTATCCCTTTTGTATATGCCACTTTACCCAAAATGGCCATAAATTCTATTAAAATTCGCTTGAAAAAGCTATTAATGAATCATTGCCTCCTTAATTCTTGTTAGAAGTTACCCTGTTTTTTTGTTGGTTGGTTGGTTGGTTGTTTGGTCAGTTGGTTGGGTTATTTTTTTTTATTATTATTATTTTTTTAGACAGAATCTCCCTGTAGCCCCAGCTGTCCTGAATTCATTATGTAGACCAGGTTGACCTTGATCTCAGAGTGATCTATCTGCCTCTGCCTCTGCCTCTCAGGCGTTGGGATTAAAGGAGTGCGCCACCAGACCCAGCTAAGTTGCCCTGTTTTTTGAAAAGAGATACACAGGTTTATGGAGTGTGATGAATGGAAGTGAAATTATATCCTCCTTTGCCATCAAATAACTAATGACTTTGATCATTTCAGTTAATATTACTGATCCTTGGATTCCTTTCATGTAAAACAAGGGACTAAACTTGTAATTTTCTGTAGGAACTTCCTCCTTCAAAATCATTTCAATCTGTGAATCTAGTCTAAGTATTGTGAAGTTCACTTCTGCATGTTTTCAAGTTTATCACAGGCTCAGAGGGTTATATAATCCATGGTCCTGGAATATTAAGGTTAGACGAGGGCCACAAGGTCATTCAACAAACTCTTTGTTTTAGAGAAGGATAACCCTAAGTCCTCAGGAACCTGGCAACTAGTTTATGAGCATGCCATGAGTTAGAGATTGGGTTCAAAGCCTGAATGACATAGTTTTCCAGTCCATGCTCACCACAGGGGTGTCTGTCCCTCAGTCTCTGTGAGGTTATTCATCTCCCATCTGCTTTGCTTCATCCGGATTGTGATAGAGTGGATTATGAAAAGTGAGAGCAGGGTCTCATTTGAGTGATTCCTTTCCTTTCACAGTCCTGTGGTTTGATTTTAAGGCTCCTTGCAAGGGGATGTTGCATTCTCTAAAGAAATCTTTCCCACCATAGTGTCTCACCAGCTCCTCTCCCGACTCTAACCAGAGTACAGTGCTTTTTTTCCTATGCTGTTTGTATTGTGTCACTCTCCTGCATGGGGTATTGCAGCGGTCTACTCTTTATATGAAGATGAGATGTTCGTGCTTGGTACCCCCAAATACCTTGTAACCCAGATCAATTAATTTGATGGATAATTGCTTGGGTTATATTTAGTTATTGAACCTCCTAATCTGAAAATCCAAACCTCAGACTTTGTGAACTCCAGTATGGTGCCAAGAATGAAAACACCCGCATCGAACCTCATGTGACAAGTTGTAGTCAGAACATAGATTCATTAAAAATACTATATAAAATTACCTTCAGATTATGTGCAAAAGGCTTATATGAAACATAAATGAATTTTCTATTCAGCCATAATTCCCATCCCTAAGATGCATCGCTTTGTATATGCAGTTCCAAAGCCTAGAAAAAAATCTGAAACCTGCCTAAACACTCAGAGACATTCATCCAATGAATGAGATCTAAAGACTTGAATTTAGAGATGTGTTTCCTGCTTATTCATTTATTAATGGAACCAACAAGTACTTGGTTTATATATAATATTCAGTCATGCATGCATGTACATACTTTAACAAATATTTACCGATCATTCACTTTGGACCAAGCACTGATGATCCAACAGACAAGGTTTCCACTCTTTCTGGGATGATATTCTGACAGGAAGTGCCTGGGGAGGAACTGCTGAACAGTCAGATCTGATCTCTAGTTGCATGGGCTTGTGTTCAACAGCTGTGATCCAGTGGTCCTCTGTTCTCTCATCCTGATTGTGGACTCTCTGCCTGAAGTATCTCCCTCTACCTGACAGTGTCTGCTTGATCATGTCCTGACTGTCTTTTATGACATTAGGGTATGTTGTCACCTTGAGTATCGTTGCCCTCAATATGCCTCCTGATGCTGCCAAGCCTGCCTGAGTGGCTCCTTTTGGCCCAAGGATAGTCTAATGACCAACTACATCCTTTTTATGGATCTCTGCCCATCACTAGACTGGAGTAGCATACCTGGCACATAGTTTAGGCTCCATAAATACCCATCACATATTTGGATTTCTGAATGAAGAACTTTTGTAAGAAAGATCACTAAGTATTCAGAAATTTTTTAGGAGTGATTCTTTCCTTGTACTTGGGTTTTATTCTTGATAGAATGTAGTCTCTGGGACTAATATGAACGGCTGCATAACCCAGTTCTCCCATTTAGAAATCATAAACTTGGACAAGTTAATTATTATCTCTGTGACTCAGTTTCCTAAACTATAAGATTGTTATGAGGATTAAATGATTTGATAGGTGTAAAACACTTACAGTCACATGTAGCATAATACTGATAACTTCTCTTACTGAACCTGAAGGTAATGTAGCACTTTGGGGTTTGCACATCCATTATTATTAATGATCATAGTAGTGTCATAACAGCTATTGTTACTTCTTTTTTATGGATAAGGAAACAGAGCTTAGTGAGATTAAATGGTTCGAAGGTCACATATATCTTCTAGTGAGCAGCTGCTGTACTTGAACCTGGCATCCTGACTCTCAATGCTGTGGTCTTCTTGTTCACTATACCTGTTAAGTCCTCAGGATTATGGAAAGAAAACCCTGGATGACTTTGGACAGATACTTAGAAGAAACTTATGAAAGAGAGGAAGATCAGAGAGGCTAAGAGAAAAATCTTAACTAAGTCAGTGTCTTTAGAAATTACTGTGTAAGTGTGAAACCCTGGGTCCAGATGTTACAGGTGGGGATAGGGAGGGAGGTAAGGATACATTTCAAAAGCTTCTTTAGCACAACTTGGTCCAGAGCCAAACCTCTATACTGCATAGCTTGAAGGAGAAGTGGGATAAGCATGGTGATTTCAGTCCTATTTGTTAGCATGGGTTTGGATGTCCCTCCTCTGTTAGCATCATCAGAGTGCTCAGCCTTGCCATACTGATTAACATGCTATGCCAGCTACAGCTGATTTCTCAAGAATTGGGTCTTCAGATAGCCTTGGGCATTCTAGGCTACAAAAGCCTTCAGGAACCAAGTATCCTGGTACCTCACATACCACATACAGCATGGACCCAGAGTCCATGATCACTCTCTGTCTAAGGATCATCTCCCAAACTGTGGCCAACTGTGTCACATTAGTCCAAGTCAAGGCCATATTTATAAGAGGAAATCAGTCTCCAACAGTAAGCTGTCTACATCTACTGATGTTCTGCAAACCTATATCTATGCCTTACAGAAATGGCCTTGCTATTTATTTCATGTCTTTTTCTGAGATAGGCTCTCACTCTATAGCCAGGCTAACCTGGAATTTAATAACTCACTATATAGCCCAATTTAACTTCAAACTCATGACAATCCTCCTACCTCAGTCTCCCAAGTCGAGGATTACAGATGTGAGCTACTATGCCCTACTTGATTTCAATTATTCTTTATAATCAGACCAAATAACAAAAAAATTAAGAAAAACCTTACTACAGTTTCCCTAAGAAGAGGTGAGCATACCACGGTGTAGCTCGGGCTGAGGCCTTAATGCGAGGTTTCAGCCACAAATGGACCGGCCTGGGAGAAGTGAGTTGGAGAATACAGGGTCCATTTGGTGCATTCTACTCTTTTGCTAGGTAACCAGTACTCTCCAACAAATAAGGAAAAGCCCGGAGAAAGCACTGAAGATAAGATCATCTGCCAGGAGTATACACAGCACACTGAGAGCATCTTCCCCCCACCCACATGCATCAGCTTATGTTAACAATTGAAGCTGTAAGATCCATGGAATTTAGAAGCGGCTTTCTAGGGTAGTTAACATGAGTTCCAGGGTGCCACTCCCTGTCTTGAATGTAACATTTAAGCAGTAATTATGTCCTTGGAGTGGTTTTCATGAGACATCTGGCTAGTGCAGTTTATTATGTGAAAAGGAACTCCCACATAGAACTATACTTCTCCTAAGTTAGAGTTTCTTTTATCTTTTGGCTCTTTGCTCTGTATAAAAGCAATCCATTGTCTGTTTAAGCCTTGCCACCCAAAGGGTGAAAGCCTTAACGTTTCTGCTGAAGTGATTTCCTTGCACCTCCATGAAGTGAGGAATTGCGCCTGTGTTTCTTAGCTGCAAATTAAAACCTACATTTCTTTGTCCCAGGAGTTAATTTTGAGAACTGTGACTTTCATCTTGGTTTTTTAATTCAGAGAAGCTTCCCTGAAGCATTTGCTGGTTCCAAAAGACTGATGGTGCGGATGAGCGTGCTCACCGTGCAGAACTCGCAGGGCCCTTCTCTGTCATTCAACTCTGCCACTAGCAGAGGTGTGAGAGGTATGGCGACCAGGGAGTCACATAACATCTTTCCATTAACATTCTTCCAAGACACAATTTAATCAGAATGTATGTAATCGTTGGGAAATTAATAAGCACTTTTTTTAGTGTGCATCTGAAATGTCTTTTATAGCTTTATATACTTTGGCATGGGATTTAAATTAGCTGGGAATCATAAAATCTTGAACATTCAGAGATGGAAAAAACCTAGCCAAATATCCTCAGAGTAAGTGAGGGAATATACGGAAACCCCTCACACAGGACCTCACACATTGTAAATCAGCAGTAATGTTAGTTGCCACTTGCTCTCCTGAAGGGAGGAAGAATTGGGGTTCAGTGAGCTGCCAAGGGCTACATACTTAGAAGGTGCCAGAGGCAGGATTATGATTAGGATTCCTGGCTCCTATTACAGTCCAGTTCCCTCCACTGTGCCATTCAGGCTGGGACACTTTACCTGTTTACCTGCCGGGAGCATAGCACCTTCAATTCTCTATCACTACCTTCTACAGCCAGGTATAGAACTTCTTATGATAGAACTTCTTATGATAGAACTTCTTATGATCCTTCCTAAGTTGGAGACCCCCGGAAACCAGGCAGCAGATACTGCATTCTCCTAGGCTCATCACAATTTTCCAACTGGCAGTTTCATGCCTTACAAACAATAACTTGGCTTCCAGCAGGCATTCATTCACGTCAAGTATACTGAGCTTCTTTTCTGGATCATTTATCAGGAAGAGAAATAAACCAAGTAAATAAACATGGCCCTTGCCTTTTCTCCCACACAGGGATGCTTATCTGACTTTACCAACTCTAAATAAAAGCCATATTTTCAAGAATAATTTTGAAGACAAAAGAATTTATGTGATGTGTAATTTCCAAGAAATTTCTGAATGGAAGCTATGAGCAGCCATGATACTAAAAAAGTAGATATTTCCACTGTTTAAGAAGTCCTTGCTCAGTCTCTCCTCACAAAAGCCTTCCTGGGAACTCAGGCAGAAATGTAAAATAAATTTAAAATGTACTGTGAATCCAGTGTGCACGCACTGAAAGCGCATCATACCAAACTCCTCTGAGCCAGATTGCAGGGGTGCGTCTAGGAATGAGATGCAGTCTTTGCCTCACAGCTGTGTTGAAACAAGAGCTGAGAAGATGCAACTTGCAGGACAGTGCGATAACAGAGTAAGCTTAGGAAGCCAGTTACCTAGCACAGGCGAGTGCAGATGCAGGATGCGTGAATTAGCTACTTTAAAGTATTCTTGAGCTAAATGTCTTCAAAGACACAGCAGTAGGAGAGCTAGCACAGGGCTAGCCTGAGAACCAAATCTGCATATGGTGCTAGCTGAAATATTCATGGAATGTATTTGCGTGCTCAAATCACTTTCTTATCAATTCAGTCACTAGTCCACCAATGTTTTTGGAATTCCTAATCCTTGTCAGGAAGTTGGTGGGTCATGAGGAATATGAGAGAAAAGAGGCCAGACTGGATCCTGCCATGAGTGGTCACAGAGCAGTAGTGGAGATCATACATATACATGTGAATCGTCACATGAAGAAATGACTCTAAGTATAGAAGGCCGTGGAAGACTAGAGAAGGGCCCATTTTCAATTAGGAACATGACATCCTTTCGGAAAAGATGTATAATCTTGAAGGGCAGGTGATATTGAGCGTGGGGAGAGCTTTCCCTGCCGTGACAGAAGAATGTCCTGAGCATCAGCAGGAAGGGGCAGCACATACTCAAAGCAAAGGAAGTAGCTGACTTTTGCTTGGGCAAATTATACATCAGTTCTTCCATCGATCCATTGATCCATCAATCCATCCATCCATCCATCCATCCACCCATCCATCCATCTTTCTACCCAGTACGTACTGAGTACTTAGTATTAAGGCCATCTTGGGTATCATTGTATTGCCCAGTAGTGAAAAGTCCTTCCTTGCTTAAATAAAGTTTACCTTTAATCTAAGGAGTTATATATCAAACATTAATTAGACAGTGACTAGTTTAATTACAATTTTGGAGTTCTACAGGGAGGAATAGGAAATACGGAGAACACACAGCCATCTGTAGTTTGAGATAAAATGTCAGACCTAACGAAGATGACCTAACGAAGTATGTTGACACCAGAAAGCAAAGGACTTTGCATGCCAGGACAAATTTGAAGCAGAATGCCTTGGCGTTTCTGAAAAACAGCCCCCAGGATTAGAACACGAGTGCCCAGGAGATGGCATGGGGAAAGGAGCTTGCACTTTGGATTCAGGAAGACGGCTTTGAATCCTTCCCTTCCAGTTAGAAACCACGTGTGCTACATTATGTTTCTTCAGTTTCCTTACCATTAGAGTGAAATGGTAAGACTCCCAGTGCAAGCTAAGAAGTACTCAACACAGTGCCCAGCAGAGAACAGCAGCCATGGCATGAGGTTTCCCTGCCCTATCACACATGAAAATGTGATACCAAAGAGGAGCTTACCCAACTAGTGAGTCAGCAGTGGCTGTGGACCCCCGTGAAACTTCAGCTACAAAACAGCTACACAGAAGCTCGCTTTTTCCTAAGGGGGTCTGAGACAGTTGGGAGAAAAGCCACTATTGTGGCAGATCAACAGACAGAGCCTTCTTCAGCAACACCCTTGCAGGCCTCCGTCACTTAGAACTTGGCACCTTCCTCGGACTTGCCTGTACATGGGGATTCAAAGAGGAGTTTAAAATGCAGATTCCTAGGCCTAGTACCAGACATACTAAAATGGACTCTGTGGGAATGGAGGAAGGTATTTATTCAATAACTCCCAAATCAGTCTGATGTTCATCCATGTTAGAATCCAAGCCTAGGTCCTGGGAGCTCCGCAAGCCATCCACAATACACCAGTTAAAGAGACAAGTAATAGAAAAAGAAATGGTAAAAGGAGATTTACCCAATGTGGCCACATTGAAAAGAAGAACTAAGAGAGCAACTTCACAGCCATCGCCACTACCACCATCCTTCACACGAAGACTAGGTTTAAATAGAAGACAAGAGCTATCTATAACTAAGCAGAGCAGTCCTGGTCAAGGTATGTTCCTGTCAATCACTGACCCATCCTCATCATCTCAGTTCTCCATCTGTCCTGTTCTGTTGATCACTGACCCAGCACCATCATCTTAGTTTTGTCCTGCAAGGTGTCCTGACAAGTTGTCAACACTGTTTGAAATCTCTTCAGAGAAACAAGCTTACCCTCTGGTTGATTCCAAAACCTCGATCATCTCCTTCTCCCAGCATGAGACTCCTGTAGAAATTCCAATTTTAGGCCCCTCACCTCAGTAGTCTGATAGCCAGAGGGAGGGGCACAAGTATCTCTCTTTAGAATATTGTTGCTAATACTAGAACAGCTGCACCCATGTTTGAGAACTGCTGGTCTAGATCTCTTTCTTGATCAGTGACAACATCCTGTTGCTCCTTAGTGGAGTAGAGTCTTAAGATCAGCGTTTCTGAAAGCATGCTTCTGAGACCAGCAGGATCAGTGTTTCTGAAAGCATGCTTCTGAGACCAGCAGCAGGATCAGCAACATCTTGGGGCTAGTTAGAAAGGAAGACTCCTCAGTCTACTGCAGACCACTATCAGGAACCCCAGAGACAGGACCACTACAGGACCCAGTGTAGCACTACACTGTATCAGGAGCCCCAGAGGTAGGGCTGGCTGCAGGGCCCTGCATTAGAACCCCAGAGGCAGGCCTACTAATAGAATCAGAAGGCCGGAGGCAGAGTGGAGCAAAATACGCCTGTTCTAATACACCCTGCAGGTACTCTGGGGCACCTGGAAGTCTGACTCCGCTCCCGAATACTATTACTGGGCCCCCAGCAGTGCACTGAGAGCCCAGGAGAGTCTGACAGAGAAATTCAACAAAGAAGAAGGATGATGAGACCAGCAAAGGGCAGAGAGAAGCTAAGAGGAAAAGCCTGCGTGGTGGGACATGCTGTGACACTAGCTCTGAGAGACAGAAGCAGGCAGATTCTGAGGGTTTGCTGGCCCACCAGCCTAGCCAAAATTGGCAAGCTCCAGATTAGGTGATAAACCTTGTTTCCAGAAGCAAAGTAAAGAAGCAATCCAGGAAGGTATCTCGATTTCAACCTCTGGCCTCCACACATGGGCAAGCACATGCATGTGTACACATGTATCTGTTCCACACACAAAAAAGAAGTTGCACTTCTAGTGGAACACGGGTTTGTTTGTTGCTTCGTCAGGCCCTTGACACAAGCAGGCTGGATATGATGAAGAACGATTCCTCCATGAAAGGCATATCCCTGGCTAAGCAACCTGGATCACTGTTACTTGTGGCTCTGTGACATTTTGGCAAATGCCCTCTCAGGGTCTCAGTTTCCCAAGGTGTAGATAATGCAGGTCCTGAACTGATTAATCTCTGAGGGTTCCTCTGGCTATACTTTCTATAGCATCACCCCATCCCCCAAAGAACTGGGATTTGCACTGACGTTTGGAGTGAAGTCTAAGCCAACATCTTCTTTTCTGAGACTCCTAGGTCAGCAAACCTAAAACAGAGAGGCTGGTTAGGGACCTGAAGTAAACAACTTCCTTCCTGGGGAGTTGTAGCATCCTGAGGCTGTACAGAGGGAAATTCCAGGCCATCTGGATGTGAGAGAATTGCAGTCATCTGCCCACGTTACAGGAGCCTGCCTTCCGGAGATAGTGTTATGTCACTGGATTGCTCATTGTGCCCTGGAAACCTCCCCAGGGATCATGGGAGGGTGGGGGGCTTTTCAATGCACACTCAGGCCTTCTTTTCTGTTTCTCCACAGGAGGTCGCCAGCGGCTAGTCAGGCTCCAGTCTCCAGAGTCAGCCTGCAAGGTAGGCCATGTCAGGAGATCCATCTCCATCTTCCCAAACGATAAATGTGTTTCCTCTTCAAAACTGTTGTTAGAATAACAGCATTTGTATGCATACCCTGGCCTCTTGGTAACTTTTTTCAAAGGTGTATTGGTTCTTCACTGCATGTGAGGCCAAACCAAAAACAGTGTTAAACAGCTTGTCCAATGTATGAGTAAGGGCTTCAGAATGCGGTCCTATTGTTTCCAGAAGAGGAATGGGAGACAGGCCTATGTCAAGAGTGCAGCTTGACTTCAGCTCACCGACCCCAGTGAACTCCAAGAGAACTAACTTCAAAGATCCCTATGGTGCCTAAACTGGCCCAAGGTCCCCCAGAGCATATTAATGGCTCTCCTCTTAGCATCTATGATAGATGAACCTGATCTGCATCCTTGCCAGGTGTCAAACCAAAAGTTCTTTCCAGATCACAAATCATTTCTCTTGGCAGTCATCCAGCTTCGTTCCTCCAGAGTGTATGTTTTAGAGAAGTTCACCCTTCATCTTTCAGTACTATGCATCTGTTTTTCCAGTATCCTGAGAGCTGAAGGGAGGAAGGGCCACCGTGGAGGAACCCAGTGGAGATGTGTTCAATATACATTCATCACATCACATGTAGCCAGGCAGGTGACCTTTTTAGAGACCAGCAGTTTCTACCTCCCTTGCACGTGTTCCACTAGTGTAGCAGGGGAGCCCAGTAGCACACCAGAAGGAGCTGCTGAGATGAGCTCACACCAAGGCCACCTGACATCTCACAGTGCTACTTTCCTCCTCCCTTTAGACTCAGATTCTTCCTCCTTGGATGTTGTGTTCTGTGCGATGACCATAAGAATCTCAAAAAAGTGTTATAAAAGACAAACTTCTAAAAGAAGGGAACAAAGGCAGTGGATTCCTCTTGCTCATTGGCTTCTCAAGCACTTATGGTATATGCTTTTAAAAATGCTTTTAGAAGAAAGAGATTGAGAACAAGAATAAAAGTGAAAGAACAGTGTTAAGGAAGGTGAGTTTATTCCAGAACCCTGTGATCTGAAATAGAAAGAAGTAAATAGCCTTCCATCTACAGACTTCAAAACCTCAGCACACCGGGAGCTCTACTTCCTTTAGGTATTTTATAAAATGACATCGAATAGTGTCTTAGCGTATGAGCGTGTTACGTACTTGGAGATCAAAGGAGCTCGTTTTGACACTTCCGTTGTTTCGTCTTAGTGGTCTACGCGCGAGGAACCCTGGCTAGAATTTCTGTTGCCAGTTTTACCAAGATGTTTTGGATATCAACTTGGATAGTTAGACCATGTTTCCCTTTTCTTATATTAAATACTGACAAATACCAGGAGGAAATGTGATACTTATGGTTCTATAAATTAACTCATTAGCCAAACACTGTTGGAAAGATAATTTTATGATTGTTGGCACTGTGACCACTGCTTGGCAACCAGTGCTTTCTTTTGCTAAACACTTTTAAAGCAATGGAGAGAAGAAATGACAATACCACTTAGGCAATTTGTTTTTGTCTGTCTTTGTGGCAAACTCCAACAATCCCGGCTTTCCTTTGGGAAGAGACTGTAGTGCTACTCATTATTACGTAATTATGACTTTCAAAGTCTTCTGAATGGTTAACCACCAGCAGAAAAGGAAGAAGGAGACACACATCCCGTGTTTTGTTCTTATTATCAGCTTAAATACGTCGGACAGATTTTTCCTGTTATATTAATATTTATCAGCATATGACAAAGAGGTGTGTTTAAATAGAAGCTTTGAAAAGGAACAAAAAATAAATGGCCCTGAGCAAACAGAATGAACTGGAGTGCTGCTTTGAAATATAAAGTTTTTATGAAAATAAAATCAGCTTTTCATTTAGGAGCACTGAGATTGAACTCATATAGTTTTACTGAAATGTAAGATTAAAAAAGCAAAAGACATCCATTACAACTTGAAGACATTTAGCAACACGGTAGTTGTTTAGTGAAACCTGACAGACTTGGATCGCATAGACACAGATATGACAAAGTCAATCTTAGAAGATGGTGCCTCCCTTTCTTCTGTCCTCGTCCTCCTCTTCCTCTTTTTTACCTCCTTCTTCCCCTTCCTCCTGTTTTCCTCCTCTTCTTCCTCCCCTCCTCACCTTCCTCTGCCTCCTCTTCCTCTTCCACCTTTTCCTCTTTTTCTTTTCTCTTTTGTCCATAGATATGAAGTGTAATTCATTGTAAAAAGCTAAGTGCCGGAAGCCAAGGGTAAATTTCTACAATTCGCGCTTAGAATTGATGATTAACTGAAACATTCGGTGAAGCAACCTCTCAGTCTAAAACACCTTTCTGCTCACTGTTGGTCCAAAGCAATTCACAGCTCTCATGGCACAACAGAAATGTCCTCTCTTTGCAAAGAGTTTTTTTCTTTTTTTTTTTTTAATTCGGTAGAATTGTTCCTTTCTTGTGCTATGGCAACAATTGAATTCTAGCATGTGTTGATCCCTGGCTGCCAGGTCTCTCCCTGGAACTCAAGCTCCTGAAGGCAGGGGCTGCGCCTTACTCATCTCTTCGTTATTTGTGACGTGGTGTATTATTTCCACACAGTTGAAGCAGAGTAAATGTCAAATCGGCCAGGAGAGCTACATGAAATTTGGACTTTATTTGAGGGAAATATTCCTAAAGGTAAAATTTAATTATGAGCCAACATCTCTGTGCCTAGGAACAGAATTCGGTTGTGCTTTTCCTTTATAATCCAAATCACTTATTACAATGAAATTAGAGACTGTCAGAGGTGCAGTCTTGACGTGTTTATGAATGTCAACGTATTTGTACAAGTTTTGTGTAAAAAGAGTTAAGTCTAAAAAGCTGACATTTTGCCACTGAGTAGGAAAGCCACGGCAAATGGAGGATTTTAAACTCAGAAAGGACAGAGTGGAAATCATACATTCTGGGATTTAGGAGACTGCAGTAAATCCTCCTAGGTGTGCTGAAAACTCTAATGCTATGGTTAATGAGTTGTATCACACGTTCGCTCTTTTGCAAGCTTGAGTTCTAGACTTTTTCTAGGCGGTACTCAAGGACTGAGACAGAAATGAAAAAAAAAAGAATAAAAGGGAGAAAAACTCTAAACTTGAATTCTTTCCCTGCACATATTCAAAACAGAAGACTGAAACTCTGGACTTCAGTAACCAAAATTACTTCCAAAAGTTAAAAAAATCAGATAATTGAGAGAAACTCAGTGTGCATCATGGGTGTACCCACATGGTTACCTGATAACTGTCCCAACCGGATGTAGTGGCACAGGTCTTTAGTCCCAGCACTCAGGAAGCAGAGGCAGGAGGATCTCTGTGAGATCAAGGCCAGCCTGGTCTACATAGCAAGTACCAGGCCAGCTGGGGCTACTGGGAGACCCTGACTCAACACCCCCCACAAAAGGAACAAATCTGATAACTGTCCCACTTTGTCCATATCCCCTGTCCTTTATGTTCGCACACAAGTCATTAGTGTTTATGATTATGTCATTAAAGGAAGAATTTACTGAGAGGATAAATTATTAAGAGGTTACTTTGCAAAAAGTTTTTTATTATACAAAAGGGTTAGAGAAGTATTGCTTTTAATAGCTACCACCTCTGAGTCACATAAATGTCACCTGATTTATAACAGAATGTATCATATATATAATACTGTAGCAGCCAGACTGATGCGTGGGGTAGACTGTTCTATAGTAGTATTTTGCTTCTAAAATTTACCAATGAACGCATAGAACATGAACATCTCTACTGTACAGATCTGACGTTCTTAGAACAACCCAGAAGTTGACAGATCATCAGAAATGGCAGCCAACCATATCACCAAGATAACTAGAGAACTGCCATGATAACCTCAGGCCAGTCTGCCGAGAGCACAGCATCTAGCTCCACCTGGGTGTCTGCAACATTAGCTGTGGTGATTTTCAACATGAGCCAATTAAAATGTATTTCAAGAAAAGAATATATTTGGAGAAATAGGATGAAGAAGCATTAAGCTTTTTGGTAAAGTCTGAAATGTGTTGACCAATGTGAGTAGCAGCCTTAATTAAGATTTTTTCCAGTGCTCTGGGGCATTCATTTCTTCTAATATGCATCCAGTCACTCAGGAAGATAGCACTACCTACCGATAAAGCAGAAGAGGCCTTTTATGAGAAAGCCCATTTCTCCACATGGCCTTCTATGTCTTCACTTGATTTTCATTGTTTCTGAGGTAGATACATCAGATGCTGGGTCTGTTCAAGGAGTGAACCAGGGCCTTGGTATACTGCCTTTGACTTTGAGCAACTCAGAAAGTTAAGCTGTTGCCGGAACTCCCAGGGTCTGGGAGGAGAGAGGGACAGTGTGTGCATGGGCAGAGGGCCTGCGAAGACCACAGTGACAGCCTGAAAGCTGATATGTGTCAGATGACAGGAAAGGAAGCCCAGCACAGCAGAACCTTTGCTTGGTTTCTGCGTGAAGCAAGACCTGCCAGGCAGGATTGCAACACTTGGGACACAAGAAGACTGAAATTCATCTTGTTACCAAGGGCTGTGACCACTCAAGATGAAGGAGATCCTCTAGAAAATTACCAAAAGAAAAGGGAAAATAGAAATATCGGACATTTCCTCCAGTGCTTTGAAAAATGTGTGACTCGAATTACTGGGATAATCTGGTGATTTACCTACCTTGAGTGTTTAAATACCCTATACACAAACTGATAGAAAAGATGCACCAGAAAAGCCCAGGAATTCTAAGAATAGTTCCCCCACATGTTTGTTTTGTTTTTGTCTAAAATAGCTTTCCTGGGGCGGGAGAGATGGTTCAGCAGTTAAGAGCACTGGCAGCTCTTATAGAGGACCCAGGTTCGATTCCCAGCACCCACATGGTAGCTAACAACCATCTGAAACTCCAGTTCAAGGGAAATCAATGCCTTCTTCTGACCTCCGTGGGCATTGTATGACATGGGTGCATTTACATGCAGGCAATACACTCATACACATAACAAATAAAA